GCATGCATTTCGCATTGCATTCCAATCACACCACCCTTGCAGTGTCAATACAAATTTAACGAAGCCCCAAATGCAGTGCGTTTGCTTGCAGTAAATTGCACAGTACCAAATGACCTTGTGATCTGGTTGCTGTGCAGATCCAAAAGAGGTTCATGCAAGTCTTTGATGTGATGCAGTGCAATTTAAGACCATTCAAAATGAATGGGCTAAAATCACACCGCACTGAAGCTCATCTGAATTGTACAGGAATGCAGAGAGGATCCTGTGTGATTCACACTGTAAATTGAAGCTTAGGCTGTAGAACCTGACATATACCCAGTGAAGTGAATAGTCTCAGGTTATACACAGATGAAAGAAAATACTCCTACAGAACTTTTACTTATCTGTCTGCAGTCTTCTCTTTTGAACATCCTTTCAAAAGTGGTGATTGTTTATAAAATCCTTCCGCATTTGTCAGAATCACAGAGATGGGGGCAGGGAGCTGCAGTTAGAGCTGATTGCAAAGGGCCACATATTCCCACATGAACTATGTTGTGAATAGAAAAGCTGTCTGCTGAGCTCCCCCCAAAAAGTTATCTCGGGGGGGAAAACTTGTCAGAAGTGACTCCTGCTGATAACAGGAACAAAGCACCAGAGAGAAAACAACACTAAGGCTCCATGCACACTAGCATTTTTAAGCTAAAAAAAAAAAAAAAACCTGTTAGGAGCAAGTTAGTAGCGTTCAGCGTTTTTTTTCTGCTGGAAAAATGTTCCAAAAACAAAACTTTCTTCCTGCGCATAGATGCTGAAGCCGAAAAAATGCTAGTAGCCCAAAGCAGTGTACATGAACACACAGGATAACACTGTTTAGCTTCTAGAATAGAAGCAGTAAAAAAAAAAAAGTGCTAATACAGCTTCTAGGAAAGTAAACAGATAGTGGGCATGGAGCCTTAGAGCTTTGCAGAGACAAGTAAACACTACAGATATCTGTGTTTTGTTCAGATTCCATGACGGAGGTTTACAACACCACCTTAAGGCCCAGTTCACACCATAGAAAACAGCACGTTTTTGGCGTGTTACAATGCGTTTTTAATATGTTTCGGTTTATTTTTTCCCCTCTTTTAAAATTTAAATAGGGACATGTGCATTCCAGTGCATTTTTGATGCATTTTTAGCGCGTTCCAGTACAATTCTGTGCAGGAAAAAATGCAGCCTGTTCTACTTTTTTTCTTCACATCAGTGCTTGCAGTTTCAGTGCATTCTGGTTGAACTATGACATTGACAACCATATAACCTACTTTCTGTGCATTTTGGATGCAGAAAAAAAAAAAAGGCCCACTGAAAAGCATGGAGTGTGAACTGGCCACTCAAGGTAAACACTTCAATACCTAAATATGTGCTCACTGAAAATACACTAGAATTTTTACTGTCAAGGTACTGTGTAGGGCTTTTGTATATATTTTTTTGATTATAGTCAGGACAAGCCAGAAGCATACAAAATGGTGCGTATGACTATTTTTCATTCTGCCAGCAAGTAAGTAAAATTCTAGGCTCTTCACAAACATCTAGGGGAAAGTTCAGAAGCAGGCCACATCCTGTGAAAGCCATAATTCTGCATAGTATACAATGTAGCCAGGTACAATTTGCATTACATTCATTTCCTTCAGCTTTATAGAGCTTATCCAGATTTACTCCTGTTGTCATCACATTTGATTTGACACATTTTAAAGAGAACCTGTCGCAATTTAAATAATGGAATACACAAAAGCTTCCTCAGCTATGTCATCTAAACTTCATGGAACTCCCTTTCTAAAGAAGTATATGCAAGTGCATCCAATTCATAGCTGTGCATGTTGGGTCCAGAGTGGTTGCATATATCGCATGAAACCCTCACTATCAAAAAATCTAATATGTAATGACCTTCATGCTAACTGGCTATATTCGCGTACCCTTGATGTTCAATTTTAATGCTGCCAGTTAATATTTTTTTTTTTTTGTAACAGGTTCCTATTAATTTTCCATTACGGACAGTCTGGAGACTATACCATGGTTTAAGAAGGGAGGTGTATACAAATATAGTAGTATGTTCACTTTTTTTTTTTTTTTTTAACCATATGACCTCCAGAGGATTTATTTTACCCCCTTCCTGACCAGGCCGTTTTTTGTGATACGGTGCTGCATTACTTTAATTGACAATTACGTGGTCATGCAACGCTGCACCCAAATTAAATTTATGTCCTTATTTCCCCCCCAAATAGAGATTTTATTTGGTGGTATTTGATCGCCTGTGCGTTTATTTTTTGCGCTATAAACATGGCCAGTAAAAAGTTTTTGAAAAAAAAAAATCAAATTTCGTCATAAATTTAGGCCAAAATGTATTCTGCTACGTCTTTGCTAAAAGAAAAAAAAAAATCCCAATACGTGTAAATTGTTTTACATGAAAGTTATAGCGTTTACAAATGGGTGTGTGTATATATATATATATACACACATATACATACATACACACACACATACACACACACACTGGAATTTTATTTATTTATTTTAACTAGTAATTGAGATGATCAGCGACTTATAGCGGGACTGCGGCAGGCATTCTGACACGGGGGGGAATGAACGGTCACAGACCTCCCCAGTGACACAAATACAGTGTTCATTGCTAATAAAAAGTACTGACACTACCAATGACACTGGGCAGGAAGGGGTTAACATTTGGGGTGATCAAAGGGTTAACTGTATGCTGCTTTCCTATGTGGGCTGTGCGTGCTTTACACTGTAAGTACATGGCTTTGTATGGCTCTGCTATTGTTTACATAGATGTCTCTCCCCCGTTGGTGATACAGATCGCTGGGTGCCGGTGGGGAAACAACAGCCGGGACTCGGTGATTGACAGCCGAGGCTGCGAATGGAGGCGCAGGTAGGGCACGCTCGCATGCCCCCCTACCTGGAAATGCAGAAATGATTTTGCACAGCCGTGCTGTCCTGTAGCAGTATTTCTGCTATACGGCGACGCGGAAGTGGTTAATGGCAGCTTTTATTTTCTTCAGTAATCGAAATACCATAACATACAGTTTTCCCCAGTACCTGCTTATCAGCAGGTTCAGCTAATGGCTGTGAGAACATTTGTAGTAGTGTAAAAGGACTGGCATACAGCATAGCACAGTACTTGGGAATCAAAAAGAGAGGCAAAGGATCCAAGCATCAATGTTCAGGACAGATTCAAGTCTTTTTCTTGGTAGACAGCACAGAGGTCTAGCCATCATATTCCGACATGGTAAGGCCGCTTAAACTTTGTATAATGTAAAGACCATTATTCATAAAGAGGAAATAAAGCATACTATTATTTCAATATATATATTTTTTATTTCTGCAAAACGCACATTTTTTTTTTCCAGCACATAGCACAAACCCTAGATATTTAAATATAAACCCAACATTTAACCACCCTCACCAGCTTTGTATGCTTGGCCTGGTTGCCTGTGTCTGGAAAGAGTTACATTATATTTGGCTTTGCAATAAATTTGCACTTCATTTGAGGAGCAAGTGTGGGCTTTTCATTTTAAAAAGCGATGGTCCCTTTTAACATGGTCGCCACACCTCCCTCACTTTCCTTCATGGCTTATTCAGAGACGCTGCTTTCTGCAGGAACGTTTTAAAACCAGTTACAAAGTCCAGAAATAAAATTAAGAAATAAATAGAACAAATAACTATGGCTGATAGTTATGGGTCTCTGCAGCATTGTAAATATTTTAAACTGGTTAAAAAATAAAATAACCTGGAGTTATTAAAAACACAGTCACTGTCATTTTGCCTCAACAAAAGCACAGGGAGACATTCTGTGGCCTGAGCTACTGTGAGTATGCAGCCTACTGATTAACTAGGAACTGCACAAATGACTAAAGTATGAATAGTACCTCATGCCACAGTGATGTCACTGATCTCAGACAAACCAGTAGGCCCAAATATTGGTTTAGCACAAAAAAAAATGGCCTTGACAACAACAGAGGCAAAAGACACTTAAGATATTCAGGTACATGCTGCTTCTTTCCCTCTGTCATGTGATATTATCACACAAAACATATATATAAATATATAATTTATATAATGTATACAGATTCCCGCTCTGCTGCAGAGCGAATAATGCAGGTGTTGCAAGGCTGCAGGCCCTTATTTTATTGCATGTACAGTAGGTGGCGCTGCTGGGGTTACTAAAGCGAAAATAATTACATACAGCGACAAGGACACGTTACTACAGGGATCATTTCCTGTATATCAATAGGTGTATGTTGTGTCAAATTTACCTATTCTGGCAAAGATTGTAAAATGAAAGATCACGTTGGCACCAGAGTCTTGTGGTGTCCGTTACAACCAAACCACCCACCCCCCACCCTCACCCTACAAAGGAATGTGTCATGACTAATGGACCAGCAATAATATACAATTCTACACACATATTGTATGTATCCTTACATATAAAAAGTGTGTAAGTTCATACACACACCTGCTTTGTGCTCTTAGCCTCCTCCTCTTTCTGACTGGGAACCCTATATGATAAAATGGGCGACGCGATCCTGTAATTCACTGGCTAGACTCTGCAGGCGGTTTCTTAGTGGAGGAGTAAAAATAGGTGTACAGAGGGGCCTAAGGGTGCAGAGCAGATCACTGGGGAAACTTCTGCCCGACCAAGGAGGCGATAACTGAAGAAACGTTGCTGGTATCTCAAAATGATCACATCTGCAGATCTTCATTGTAGCGGATAATGTGCATGAGACTTTCATAGAACATGTAAAGCAGGGTTATGGTCTGTGGAGATGACCTCCAGAGCTTATGGAGCAGCACTGAAGGACTTAAAATAGTGCAATGATCAAAAGCGTCCAGTGATACTCCATGTCCACTTGTGGCGTGGCATGGCCTCACTCAGATCAGGTCTTGTGCTCAGATTTGCTCCCGTCACCCATTTCATTCAAAGTTGGGCTTGGAAAAAACAAATATATATATATGTATATTGTACAAGGGGCTCAGTTATTCTCAAAAAGGGACAGAAGGTCATCATTGCCACTGTTTGGAAGGTCCGGTGGCCCAAGGTATGAGAGCAGCTCATCTGGATTGGTCAGTTCAGGGAGAAGCTGGAAAAAAAAAAAAATGAACACATACATTAATATGAATACAAGTCACCAAACGCTCATGAAACAGCATAGCAAGAGGTTTTGCTGCTGGAGTACTCATACACCTATTCCTGTGAATGTAGGGGAAAGTTCCCTATGGGCCATAGGAGACTATAAAGATACCTGTAGACAACGTACATCAACATGATAAAGCCCATATTTACCTCCACTTTTCTTATCACCAATATGGCTTATTTTTATATTTTTTCCATTTTTTTTTTCTAAACCACATTACATGCAAACCAAGATATCCAGCAAAAGTGACATCAAACAGGAATTTGGAAAGGGGTGCATACCATAGTCACCGCCTAGTCCCTGTTGCTGCAATTCCTCAAACTCCCCCCAGTAGTGTTTTTCCTAACCTTTTGTCTCTGTCACTTTTACTATATAGCTTGGCCCGCATGTAACAATTAAGGAAAATTTAAATAAAATGAAAAAAAAAATGGCATTGCATGTAATTACATACAATTATACAATTTTTTTTTTCCATTCCTTTGCATACGTTAAAATGCACATTTTAAAGCGGAGCTCCACCCAAAATGGGAAGTTCCGCTTTAAGGCCTGCTCCCCCGCTCCCCATTAAGGATTGGTACCTTTGTGATGGGGATTTGGGGGTTGCGGTTACCTGTCAAATTCAGGTACCCGCTTCCCCCCCCCCGCCTAGGCGATCGGAAACGGAAGGTGTCCTCCCTCCCTGTAGTTTTTTGGGATGAGTGACAGGTCCCAGAAGACTACAGGACCATTTATGAAGCGCATGTGCAGTGGGTACCCGGCTGTGAAGCTGCAAGCAGTCACAGCCCGCACTGAAGATGTCGGCCTCCAGGACGGCTGGAGAAAAGGGCTGCGGGGGACACACCGTGGGACCGAGGAACAGGTAAGTGGCTGTTTTTTTAAAAGTCAGCAGCTACAGTTTTTGTAGCTGAGGACTTATTTTTTTTAACAGAGTGAGTGGAATTCTGCTTTAAGTCTGAAGATCACTTAAAAATCCTAAACATTATATTTTTCCTGAAAGCAGAGACCTTGTAGAAAAATTGTTGGCATTTGGAAATTTTTATATGTTGCATGATAATTACATTACTGTTTATCAAACCTGTATTTTTAGTGGGGGAAAAAAAAAAAAAAAAAAAAACTCAAATGGAATAGAATTCATTTTACTGCACACAAACCATATTAACCATGTTTTGGGTAAAATATAAAAGATGAGGCGGTGTTGAGTAAATATATACTAAATACAGTATGTCAAGCCTTAAAAGATTTTATTTTCTTTAAATCATACTTACCTAGGTGGATGCAGCATCGATCTGATGCTGCATCTGTACCCTGCCGGTTCTAAGGATGAGAACTGAGTGATCAGATACAGATGATCACTCAGTTCTCCTTGCTGCTATGAGCAAAGAGCGGTGAGACAGTCACCGCTGTCTGCTCTCCCCACAATGGCTCCCGCTGCCATCTCTGAGAAAGCACACAGCCAGGACAGCAGCCACTCTTATGCACACTGCTGGATCAAGATCCGGCTCAGGTAAGTATTGGGGGGTGCTGCATAGTGAAGATTTTTTTACCTTCATAAATAGAATGCATGAAGGTAGAAAACCTTCAGTCTTTACAACTTCTTGAAATCCTGCAATTGGTAGAATAGCACTTTTCTTTCCCCTATCATTGGAAGGATAGCAGTATTATACACTGACTTGTATTTGGAGTTTCTTGGATATTTTAAAAGCAGATTCTTTTCTTTTTTTTTTTTTTTTTAAAGCAAAAAAATTTAGTAGCCTTACATCAAGCGATGGTTCAGGCACATCTCCAGTACCCGGGATTGCAACTGTGGGGTTAAATGCCAGATCACCCCCAGGCTGAGCCATATTTGGCCGTGCTTGGTTCCGGTGGTGTAACTGCGGTGACTGGCTGTTCATGTTGGAGGTGTGAAGTGACTGAACTGGATTATGGGATGGATCTATCCGCCCTGTGCCAGGAACCTGTATACAAAAGAAACCAATTATAAAACAGTTGAAAAAATATTCTAGAACACATAAATGTACAAACATAACACAGCACTCCTGTATTTTATCTCTTATTTCATTTCTCATAAACAGCACTTTTCTAAACCGACATGAACCCTTGATATATCTGAATGTAAATTAGCCACATAACCCCAATGCTAAATTTTACTGGGGCTCTTAAACCTGTATCAAACAGGACTAGTGTATTGTTGAGAACGTCTAAATAAAAAAAAAAAAAAAAAAAACTTGCTCCCATGATGCAATAAAAACTTCCCAATTTGAGACAGCTAGATGCTTTAGAAGGGTCAGGCGCGGATAAATACTCAGGGCCTAGGCTGCATATTACCTGCATCCCAATTAAAAGGAAAGAAGTTTGTTCCCCAAAATTACCAAATTTTTGTTAACTACACAACAAAAAGGTAACAAAATGGAAATACACTGCAATCTACCCAGGATTCCTTACTGTTAACAATGAGCTACTGTAAAGTTGGGTGTATTGCAGGCAGCTTTGTAGAAAATACTTAATCCTTCACCTAGATCTGACACACCTAACAAGACCAGGAAGAACATATTATTGGAATAGAAAAGGCTGACGCACAGCAAACCATGTGCCCTTTGACTTGCATACTCCTAGATCTTATTGACAGAAAAAAGAAAACCAAGTTAAAACACATTGGCCTAATGGAAAAATAGAAAACAGATTTACATGGAGTTGCTGAAATCACTAAATACAAGCAGCTAATAATACTGTCCAACTTTGTACTAGTGTCTGTTGCATCAAGGGATTTGGGTTTTTTAACCTGCTGCAAACTTGCAAAGGAAAGCCCTAGCTTTCAGAACCCTCGATATTAGCATAGATTTATTTACTGCTTATTTCCATCTGGGAAGAATCTTGTTCTTCAGCCATAAACAGCAAGCAGGCAGCAGGAGGGACCTTTACATAGACACTGTAGTTTGTCCTCAAATTTTGTTCTAATTTAGGCAACTTAAAATCTCTCTGTGGACGCTGTCCATAATGTCCTCCCAGCATGCAAAAAAAGCTGTTGTAAACCACAAAAATCCTGCATTTTCACTATTTTTAGAACTGCTACCAGTAAGTCATTATTTCCACTGGGCTACAGAATTGATTCTCTTCGGTTGTTAGGAGTCTCCAAGGTCCCCATTCATAGTGCTAGTGCTTCTCAAAAGACCTCCAATCAAAGTATTTATCCACAATGTAGTTGTGTGCTGTAACACTCAGGATTTATGTATGTTACTGCTTTGTGGAATAATACACATACCCTAGTGATAGCTACCAGAGGAAAGAACATTTAGTATGCCATGTTAACCAGAAATATGGATGTATCTACCACTATGGGCTTCAGTGACCGTTGTGAATTGTGCTTGTGGATGGGTCCCTATATAGTCAAAGCTGCATTCTAACAATACTGGTACCTGGTACACATTTTGACTTCTACATTTCAGAACAAAATTCTAAAGGCAACAGACTACACATACAGTGAAGGAAATAAGTATTTGATCTCCTGCTGATTTTGAATGTTTGCCCACTCACAAAGAAATGATCAGTCTAAAAATCGAATGGTAGGTGTATTGTAACACAGACAGAATAGCAACAAAAAAATTCAAAAGAAATGCATGTCTAACAAATGATGCACTGATTTGCATGTTCCTGAGGGAAAAGTATTTGATCCCCTATCATTCAGCAGGATTTCTGGCTACCAGGTGTCTTTCATACAGGTAACAAGCTGAGATTAGAAGCAGTCTCTTAAAGGGAGTGCTGCTAATCTCATTTTGTTACCTGTATAAAAGACACCTGTCCACAGGAGCAATCAAACAATCAGATTCCAAACTCTCCACCATGGCAAAGACCAAAGAGCTGTCCAAGGATGTCAGGGACAAGGTTGTAGACCTACACAAAGCTGGACTGGGCTACCAAACTATCGCCAAGCAGCTTGCTGAGAAGGTGACAACAGATGGTGCAATCATTTGCAAATGGAAGAAACACAAAACAACTGTCAGTCTCTCTAGGTCTGGTGCACCATGCAAGATCTCACCTTGTGGAGTGTCAATGATCATGAGAACAGTGAGGAATCATCCCAGAACTACACGTGAGGATCTTGTCAATGATCTCAAGGCAGCTGGGACCACAGTCACCAAGAAAACAATTGGTAACACACTATGCCGACAAGGATTGAAATCCTGCAGTGCCCGCAAGGTTCCTCTGCTCAAGAAAGCACATGTCCAGGCCTGTCTGCAGTTTGCCACTGAACATCTGAATGATGCAGAGGAGGACTGGTTGAAAGTGTTGTGGTCAGATGAGACCAAAATCGAGCTCTTTGGCACCAACTCAACTCGCCATGTTTGGAGGTGTAGGAGGAGGAATGCTGCCTATGACCCCAAGAACACCATCCCAACTGTCAAACATGGTGGTGGAAACATTCTGCTTTGGGTATGTTTTTCTGCTAAGTGGACAGGACAACTGCACCGCATAAAAGGGACGATGGATGAGGCAATTTACCGTTAGATCTTGGGTAAGAACCTTCTTCCCTCAGCCAGGGAATTGAAAACGGGTCGTGGATGGGTGTTCCAGCATGACAATGACACAAAACACACGGCCAAGGCAGCAAAGGAGTGGCTCAAGAAGAAACACATTAAGGTCCTGGAGTGGCCAAGCCAGTCTCCAGACCTTAATCCGATTGAAAATCTGTGGAGGGAGCTGAAAGTTTGAGTTGCCAAACGTCAGCCACCAAACCTTAATGACTTGGAGAGGATCTGCCAAGAGGAGTGGGCCAAAATCCCTCCTGAGATGTGTGCAAACCTGGTGGCCAACTACAGGAAACGTCTGACCTCTGATTGCCAACAAGGGATTTGCCACCAAGTACTAAGTCAGTCATGTTTTGTGAAGGGGATCAAATACTTATTTCCCTCATGAACATGCAAATCAGTGCATAATTTGTTAGACATGCATTTCTTTTGAATTTTATGTTGCTATTCTGTCTCTCAGTGTTACAATAAACCTACCATTCAATTTTTAGACTGATCATTTCTTTGTGAGTGGGCAAACATTCAAAATCAGCAGAGGATCAAATACTTATTTCCTTCATTATAAGTGTACATACAGTAGCTGTGTATACTGTTACAAATTCAACATCAGCTCATGTCAGAAGTTCTGACAACCTCTAGAATTACAGAATCGACAGAAGTGCCCACTATAAACAATATGGCTCACTAGCAGTGCTGTTACTATTCCTCTAATAAAAGGCGGAGGGTTGCTCTTATGTCATTGCATCTTTGTGCAAAAGTCAATTTGCAGAATGTACTCACTCTAGAAATTTACAGATACTATATTTGGTATAATTCCCATTATTCTTATTAGCTCACCTGTCCTGTGTCAGCGAAGGTCCTCCAGGCTTCTCCTGGTTCATCATGGAGCTTGGAATGTCAGACTGGTAAGAGATGGGTGGAGGGCCACCGGTGTTAAAGTCATTCATTGTTGGGGTGCCAGGGTTCGATGAAGGGAAGCTGCCTTCAGGGAATCCCCCTGGATTCTGGAAAGTTGGGCCTACAGTCAGATATAGCAATGTGAGTGAAAACACGGACCTAATCATTGTATAGTATTAGCAGAAATAAGCACAAGTTTTATATCCAATCTTTACCAAAATATTGAACTGCAAACTATTTTATATGGAAAACATAAAAATGTAAAAGTTGCACCCACAGGCTGCAAGTGAGAATACATGCTATGCAATATTTCCCTGACTTTTTCATTATTTTAGTACTAAACATAAGAGACAGAAAATATGTACAAAACATGATACATTCTCTTTAGAGACAGGATTATCTGACAGGGAAAAAGGAAATTAAATCAAAACAAAAAAACGTGCAAATCATGTATTATCGTAGCACCGGGGTCTCCAAACTTTCTAAACAAAGGGCCGGTTTTACTGACCTTTACACTTTAGGGGGCCGAACTGTGACCAGTGGGAGTAGAAAATATCCTGGCATCAGTGGAAGTGAACAATGCCCCATCATTGGTATTAGGGAGAGTAATGGTGCCCCATCCTCGGCGTCAATGGGAGGACTGGTGCCCCATCCTCGGCGTCAATGGGAGGAATGGTGCCCCATCATTGGTGTCAATGGGAGAAATAAAGCCCCATCGATGTCAATGGTAAGAAAAAGTGCCCCATCGTTAACATCAATGAAAGGAATAGTGTCCCATCGTTGGCATCAATGGGGGAATAGTGCTCCATCATTGGTGTCAATGGGAGGAATAGTGCCCCATTGCCCAGGTCAGTGGGAGAAACTATTCTCTACTGTTGCTTACAGTGGGAGGAATAATGCCTTGATGGCCGGATAAAAGCAAGCAAAGGGCCGCATCTGGCCCCCAGGCCGCAGTTTGGAGACCACTGTCTTAGCACACCAATCCTACAAAATTCTAATGTCAAGAGAAAATGGTTCCATCTTGATGTCACTGGACAACGTGTGAAACCATTTATATTCTGGAAACTGTGACATGTGAAGAGGAAGATGATAAAGTACATTTAACTTATTTCCTGTAGAAAGGAGACAATGTGGTCAGTGACCATTGAGAATTATTAGCCTTTATTACTCACCCTGCTGACTGCTGTATTCAGCTCCGGCGCCCCCTCCTGACTGCATGCTGTTGAATGGAGAAGAACTTGGTCCCAGTGCAGCAATCATTTCCATGACGTTCGGCATTACCATGTGTGCCGGGCTGAGACTTCTACAGCGCTTCAGGACCGGTCCATCTGCCTCTTCCTTTATATGGGTATCTGGTTTCACTGGGACTGGTTTCCAGCAACATGAAGGATCAATCGTAATTTCTTCATAGTCATAGCTAGGGAGGCAACAATAAATAACATAACTGACATGTAAATTAACAGAAGTACCATTGCTACTTGAAACACACCTATTTGAAAGCACTCATCCGTGCAGCCATTACTATACTGTCATACTAATTATTGTGGCAGCAGTGATAGGGTTAAAAGGGGGACTAGAAAGAGGACCACCGCAGTGTGCTGCTTTTTCCTTGTCCCATCCCAAGACAGAAGCTGTTCCTTGACCAAGCTGTACTGTAACTGTAAAGTCATCTCAGATCTGGCTATGCTGTTTGGCAGAATTAACTGGACCGTAAAAAGGAGCCAAGCAGAATTACACATCCTTTGACAAATAAAACAGTATTTCAACTGTGCATTTAATCATGTATCTGTTATTCCACTTGACAAATAAATTCCTGAAGCATTAGATACTTACTTTTGAATATAGAGGAGAGTTCCCAGCATATACTGATCAACTTCCAGGCCCTCCAAAAGGGCAGTTTTACTGTAAAAAGACCACAAACATTTAGCATTAGAATATCAGAAATCTGCACACACAATTTAGCAGAAGAGGTACCAAGGCAATATATAGCTAAATATATCAAGTGAAAAAATGCCTCTCTTCAAAAAAATAAAAAGGGTATGTTCGGTGGGGTCATAAATTTGTGTTTCAAACAATGATTTATCTTAGAGAAGTAGGGCCAAAACTTTTGGCCCTACTTCTATGGATCACAAGAGTGCACTTTGTTGTGCACTCCTGTGACCCATTTTCAGCTGACAGCGGACTAAAGCACGCTGTCGACTATGGTCACTGAGCTAGTCCAGGCTCTGGATTGATCAACCCAGATGCCTGACTGGCAGCTAGTTCAGCCTCTCAGCGAGCCGCTAAGAGAGTCTGAGCCAGCTGCTCCTACCCACTCTACAGCCCAGCACTTTAATGAGCGCTGGAGGGGCAGAGCAGAGAGCCAGTTACTGACAGTCACCACTCTCTGCTCAGTGAAGAGCGTGAACTGCGCAATCAACTGTCTTTAATTGCTCAGTTCTCTTAGAAGCAGCAGGGAATAGATGCAGCATGGACCACTGATGCATCTACCTAGATGAGTATGATTTTTTTTTTTTTTTTTTTTTATTCAGAATCCCAAACTTGTCTTAAGTTTATTTCAGACTCATCTAGGAATTCCTTATATGTATGACTAGGGTGGGAACATCTACAAGAGTGTGTGAGGTTTTACCAGTGACTTCATGGCCTGGTCAGGAAGGGGGGTAAATCCTCTGGAGGGCAAGTGGTTAAAGTGAACCTGAACAGTCCAAATTTATTTCCAAGACAACAAAGTATTCCTGTTGTTCCTCTTGTATTGTAGGATCAGGCTGTATATGGCTGCTGATTCTAAGTCAATACTAAGTTCCTCCCTTCTGTTGGGCATTAAAGCCTACATCTGATATTTTCAACTGCCAAATGGATCCAAGAGCTTCTATTGCCCTATGAAGATTTGATATTTAAGCCCCATACATGCCATTTAGCTGCCAAATGCCAGGGCACCATTGTAAACAGGTGCCTAGGATAACAAGGTCTTTAGAAGAATTTTTTTTTTATGCTGGTGCTTACAGGTAGCACAAGGTGCCGTCAATGTCATACTGTTATCCTTTAAAGGTTTTATGTTACGTGTATTTTAAATAAAGGACATAGCTGTCAATGGTGGAGGTGGGGAAATATTGCACAGACACCAAAATTATTCTGGTATTGGGGTTCATGGTTACCAATTCAGTTTGTCACCAAATTATTTAGCATGACAAACTGATTCATAGAATAAGGCCTAATGAGCACAAGTGTTTGGTAAGTACAACTAGTACATTGGCTTTGTTGATTGGTAAAGCATCTGACATCTAAGCCAATGGGTGGATAAAGGAAAATGAAAGAATGGAAAACGCAACAGCCACTATGCAGACAATATTCGTCCACTTTCATGTTCATCTACTTTCTCTTTTCCCAGTAAGGCAAATAGAGATAACAAGACTGAATCTTACTTGCACACAGGACATCTCCATGTCCCTCGCTCACAGTTCAGCTGCAGGTATGACTCCAGGTCAAAGCACTGAGGGGATATAAAGAAATATCTTAAAAAGTAATAAAAGCAAATTAAACAGAAAAAGAAAAAATCATTTTCTATTTTTAACCAATAACAGGTGGAAAAGTGAGAAAAAACAAATCGTAATAGGAAAGAACAAGATAAAAATGTTTTAACAGAGAAGGTGAACTACAGTGAGTGAGAGGACAGAATAAAGAGACATCCAGTTACCTGAATATGTCGACAGTCATGGCCCCTGGCAGGAAGCTGAATTCTGCGGAAGGTGATCGGACATTTCAGGGACACTTTAATAGCCGTCTGTTCCACCCCATCCTCCCCATTAGGCCCAGGGGTTCCTGGGATGCTGCCACTACTGAAATTTCTCTTAACTGGAAGAAAATTAAATACTTTTTATAATCTGGACAAGTCAAAAAAGTAAACAAATACCATTCAATAGAGTGTTCAGGGCATGGTCTTACTTTTGGTGATGCAGTGCTCTGCAGGGAGCAGCCTTTTCTTTATCAAACCCTGTAGGACAGATCTCACAGATGGACGATGCACCAATTGCAGCACAAACAGGTGAGACTGCAAAGAAGATGAAGACATCAAAATGTTTGGATGAGAATATACTGTACATCGATATCTACTTATTCCACACTATGTAGTACTTTGCTTGCTTAGCTCCTTACTTAGCTGCTTGTTTCCCAAAATTTTGAGATATAAAGCAACTATAGGCAGGATGTGAAAAGTTCTGGAGCCAAGATATTTAAAAATCATCCTAGAATATGACAAGTATAAGCTACAAATCATCAGGGTACAGCTACATACTTGCTTTTCAGTAAGAATGCAGTGCAGGGATGGATTCTCAGCACAGGATTCTGATGTGCAAGACCAGTAGGCACTAAAATGAATCAAACCGTACGCACATATGGTACAACGGTACAAAAGTACATATGGCAGGCAAGTAGTCAGAGTTGTTCAATTACATAAAATGAACAGTATTGTCCAATTCCTAATTTAAGAAAATGCAAAACCCAGTAAATTACTGTCAGAGCAACCAGATATAATCACAATTTAGAGTAGGTGGCACTTAATGCCTACAAAAAATTATTCAGGCTGCAGACACAAGTGACGGACAGTACATTTTTTTTTTTATTTACAAAGAACAAGTGTCGTTGTCTATCGGGTCCATCCATTCCCATGCCTCTCTCTCATGCCTTTTTTTAAATGTAAACTGGTCTGTTGACTGATCAGTTCATTGGTCATAGGCTTTCCAAACCTCCCTCAATAATTCAGTATGCTTCTATATGAATATTTGCACAAGGGGCAGAGACAAACAATGCATAATGTGGACCCTAGTCCTGTCCTATACAATCCTAATTTCTTGACTGCTGCTTTTTTTTTCAAAATCAAGTTACAATTGCCTAAAAAAAAAAAAAAAAAAAAAAAAAAAAAAAAAAAAGTAAAAAGGGGAATGAATGTGGGGGAAAATGATATGGTATGCATCCGGTAAAACACAGCGTTAGTGTGTTAAATTTTAATAAATATTTGGTGGATTTTGTCAATTAGAGGCTTAGTACTAAAAGCATCTCTACTGTGGTTCGTGTTGCCCTGAGCCAGTAGAGTCTCCTTTTACCAATTAAAGAGAATAGAAATAAAAGATGGAGATGGACAGTTCTTGTCTCAGGCGCTTGAGGTCATAACCTATAGTCCCAAGTCAGTATCCTGCTCTAGTCAGCACCCCTTTCTCCCACCTTACAGCATGTAGTACTCACACAGCAGCAGGCACTGACGGTGATCTGAATGCTGTTTCTTCCAGGCTGACACACATGCTTCAGATAGAGGGGTTTATGAGAGGTCTTGTTGTCTCCGCGCTCAATGCTCAGTGGTGTGGAATTGACGCTGACCTGGACAGAACATGGCCAGTTTGTGTTCATCTGCCGATCTTCATGATGGTAACATTTGAACTGCAGCTCTAAATCAGGCCTAAGGATGATGCAATATTAATGTCATTCAGCTGGAAAAACACAGAAGATTCAAGCTAGATCCACAGTATCAAGTTTGAAACACTATAGCAGATACAGGGCTTCTGTCCATTGTACCGCAACTCCTTTTTCTCTTCAAAAATATGAAAACTGATTAGTTGCTATTGGCAACAGCTTCAAGCTTTCTCAAGATTTTAGTAAGAAATGATGAAAAACGTACCGCATCATAAGGGTCTTGTATACAGATTCCCGCAAGTGGAACACATGGTTACTGACGGCCAGGTTATGCTGCAATCGGAAAGGCTCTAGCACAATCCCATCTCGCACTGGGAACGTTAGACGTAGCTCATCATTGGAAGCACCTAACAGCACAAATGGAAAAGTCTGAATTCGCACTCAACATCATGGTGTCACTTTCTTTTAAGACCCAAAGTAGGATAAAAGGAGAAAAATGAGAGTACCACAGAGGTCTTCCTTTTGAAAGTGCTAGTTGCCAGGAATGTTACAATTACTGATCTACAGACTTCTTCCAGGTCAGTGATTCAAAGTAATGAAGCTACTGGTACAGGCGGACAACTAGGCAAACAGCCCTTTTCAGAAGGAGTGGTCATTAATGGCAGCCTCCATAGTTCCTCACTACTGGTTTCCTTCAATTAGAATTCCCACAATCTCACCTGTTGGCGACTGGTGCAGGGTGTTGTGTGGAGGTTTCACATCTGGAAGGAATGGAGACTTGACATCCTGCCCTGGTGACATATATGGTGGAGCAGTGCTACCAGGTGTCATAGGTGGTGTAGGGTTACCAGGCAATGGAGAACTGGGATATCCAGGCATAGAGCGTGCCGGCTGAAACAAGAAAGAAAGAGTAAACCTAATTCTGCAATTTAAAAACAAAGAAACATAACTGAAAGTTAAACGGTACTTTGGGTTACCAAAACATTTTCAGAACACATCACAGTTCATATCACCAAATCTGGTCCTCACACCTTGTTGGTCTTTGACTGTATTTGTAACTAGGTTGTAACAATTCTACTTTTCACTGGAAATGTCACTTTATTTTTTTTCTTATATTAATCTCATCGCTTATATTGTAACTGGTTGTAATGGGAGCCAAAATCCATAGTAGGTTCAGGTCTAAGTGCTTGGGAGACTTGCAAAGCCATCCCCCCGCTCTACCTATACAGTACAAAACTGGCTTGCATAATACACTATGGACTAGTTGCTGATGGATACTCACTACTACAGATCTTTCTCTGCTTGTAGTCAGTTAGGTTTGCTAAATGGAATATTAAAGTGCATCTAAATGCAGGAAAAAAAAAGTAACCTATTGCACCTTAACAGTAAGATCTAGTGGCTGCTTGTCCCCTTCCCTTTAATTTTCATTGGATGATACTACCAGTAACACCACCATCCCACGGTGACAATGCTTACTTCTTGTACTGTAATCCATGGAGGAGCAGTCACCATAGGCTGCCCACTCCTGATTTGGAGTAAAGCCCTCCTCCGCTAAACATTTGTATAAACAGAACATGTTCTGTAGTACACAGATGTTGAATGGCATCATTAGAGGAGGTGTGGGTAATTGTCTATTCAGAGCCACACAGACAATGGATCAAGATTTAATTATTTTAAAACAAATTTGAATAATATTGTATTTCTTTTTGCCTCCTAAATTGCAGTTACTAAGTGAGGAGTCCTCTTGGTAACCTCTAAATCAGCTTTTTTCAAATTGTTGACCAGAAGGAGCCATTAAAATCACGGAACCCCTACTAAAAATATAAGGTCTACAGCTCATGGTACATTCGTGTGATCAGCAGGTTCTATAGACTTAAAAAAAAAAAAAAAAAAAAAAAAAAAAGGGGGATTTACTTTATAATCGTGTAATAAAATGGATAATAAATGGACAGAAAAGAAACACAAGCAGTAAACATTGTAATGACCCCTTATATTGTTAAACCATATAAAAGTGATCTCCTACTCTGGTGGGCAGTGTAGAAGTGATCACCTACACTGGTGACCAATATAGAAGTGACCCCCTCACATTGGTGGGCAGTGTACACGTGACCCCTTACATTAATGGTCAGTGTATAAGTGATCTCTTACATTGATGGTCAGTGTAGGCAGGAGATCAATCTGCCTTTTATCTTTTCTCAAGAACACCAAGCAAACTCTAATGGAACCCCAGTTGAGAAAGGCTGCTGTATAAAGACACAAAGGTCTCACTGGTAAATGAATAGCAGCAAGCAGAATGACACCACCACAGTTCTTCTCCAATGTCATAGAAAAAAATAAAAATAAATCAGGGGATCAGAACTTATGAATGCACTGATCAGGAATACCCCATAGATGCATGATCTAGGGGAAAATAACATTAGCAGCTTAAAGACAGCTATAGCCTTCTTCCTTACCCCACTCATAGTTTGACTGTAGGCAAAGTTTCCTCCATTGAAGTTATTGCTCTGTCCATTGTATTGGTCAGTCAGCTGTAGAGAAAGCATATGAGAGGAAGGAGGTGAGCTTGACCCATAAATCAGGACAAACAATCAGGACATACAGGGGTTATCCAAAAAAAAATAAAAATAAAAATGGAAACACTACATGATTTGCAGGTGTGAAAGTAATATGTTTCAAGCTGATAGCGGAAATGTTATTTTTTTTTTTTTTTTTTGCTTCTGGTGTGTGATGAGGAGACACCTAGACATCAGTTAGGTAGCCTCATTTTCATCAGTCACTGTGTGCTGCTAATAATATGGACTCGTGTTAGAGCTTACTGAGCAAATTGTTGGTGTGCGCTTAGTTGGTGCCTTTGTGACTGAAGTTGCCAATTTATTTCCTGTGTCGTGAGGTACAGTATCAAAGGTTATGATGGCATATACAGTTTCTGAGAAAACGTAATCTGACAAGCATAGGCACGGTCGACACGGTCAGCTGGCCGAAAGAGAAATAAGGACATTGCACAGGAATGTGGCACAGAATAAGAAAACTGCTGCAAAGTGACTGCAGAGCTCAATCTTCACAGTGATCACGTGGTGATCCAGCCAGTAACAAAAATTCCGGTCTTGAGGTGTCTACACTTTTGGACAGCAGCATTGCTAGTCGGGGAGGTTAGTTGTAGACCATTAGATTTAGATGGACTTGACTAACAAATTGAAGCCGAACAGCAAAAAACTTTTTTTCCTTTTTGGGATAAAGGTTTACATAAATGGATAAAAGTTGACCATTGTAAGCACACTTGTCAGTGATAAATGTTTTGTCTCATCCCTGTAACCGCTATTTTATCTGAACAGCTTGGTCTATTAAAGCAAGTTGAAAAATAACAGACTTAATGGCTGGATCATCAGAGGGAAATAAAGGGAAAAAGCCAAAAAAAATAAATAAATGAATGCAGCCCCAACACCTAAGGATTGGTCAACTGCAATTTAAGGAGTTTTTGTCTTTGGGTTTAATACCACTAACTGAACAAATGGAAGATAGAAGCTGTTGGGTTGCCATGCACACCTGTTCCACATTCTGCCTGCTCTGGTTTGTTTGAATCCCTCAATCTAGTGAGACTGTTTTTTTTTTTTTAATTAAAAGCATAAACCTTTACCTACAACAGGAAGGGAAAAACTCATGCAGCTTTTCCTGGGGGAGGACAGTAACTGATTCCGAAGTTTCCAAAACTGATAATTAAAATTTTCCAAGATCTGCCAGCCAATGGTGGCCACAGACATATAGATTGTTACCCCATCTGGGCAAATTTGGAGATATTGGATAATGATCATCTCATATGTCTCTGGCTGCCATGAGACACCAAAATTTGTACCAGAGTTAAAAATTTACAGTGAGATGTTCCATAGAAGAAAATAAAAGTAACACTGTCACAGAGTGCATTCCTCACACATTTCCACAGTACAATTTCCTCCATGTAAATTTTCCCTGTATACACTTCTATGTGCGTCTTTGAATAGTAGAACCGATTGACAAAAAAAAAAAAAAGTAACTTTTAATTTGCAGCCATTAATCAACACTGAAATGTGTAGTTAATAACCGCAGATCAGGTTAAATCTCTAACCTGGAATATGGTTACTGTCACACTGTCCTTTTATTAGATACTTTTGTTAACACACAGAGGTAATGCAAAACTATAATATGATCAAATAAATCTATATGTATACATATCCATCCAGCTCCAGCTACAAGTTATCCATTGAAACAGACACCACCAATGTCTGTTTTCAAGGTATTCAAACCTGTTAACTGATTTCAATAGAATACATATTTAGCAGTTAGAGGGTTAAGACAAACCATTTTACAGCAACACGGTGTTCACAATTATCAGCTTTTAAGTAAAACCTTTATCCCAAAAGAAAAAAAAACTGGTGCTTAAACTGTAATTGCTTAAAAAATGTGAGATGAAGTTTGGCTTCAATTTGTATCTGACTCTGTGCATCTAACGTTCCTCTCCCCCCATGACTGCCAATGCTGCGGTCCAAAAGGTGTCTCTCTTGAACCTTCATCCAGAGTGCAGGCACTCTAATTTAGGTGGTTGTTACTGGGTGAACACAAAGTGAAAAAAAAAAAAAGAAGGGGGAAGCCTAAGAAAGAAAATTAATGCAGCCAGCACATCTGATGATTGGAACTCCACTTTAAATTGTAATATATTGCAGCTTACCAGTGAGGAAAAAAGTCAGCAGCTACAAAAACCGTAGCTGCTGACTTTTACAAAACGGACACTTACCTGTCCCTTGATCCCGCGGTGTCCCTCCGCAGGCCGTTTCACCAGCTCTCTTGTGTGTGGGCACCCGGCTGGGACATCTTGCGGCTTGCTCACTGTGCATGCGAAAGTAGCGCTGAGCTTTGTGAATGGTCCCGTAGTCTTTTGGCACCAGTTACGTGTCCCAAAAGACTATGGGGAATGAGGGGGTTCCAATTCCAATCACCTGTGCGATTGCAGCAGAAGTGGGAGCATGTACCTGCTCCCCAAAAGGTGCCAAATCTTAACGGGGAACAGGGGACCAGTCCTTAAAGCAGAACTTCCCCCTTTGGGTTCCGTTCAGCTTTAAGTTTTGTGTTTAATACCATACTTATGTACATGTGGCCATATATGTTCCAGGTTAGATATTTGGGCAGCAGTACCTCTTTATTGTACCGTTAGATATAAATAAAAATTAAACCAACTAAATTAAAAAAAAGAGGGGAAAAGTAGGTCTGCAGTGTAACATCCTAAAAACTGAATGCATATTATCTTTCTGAAGAGGTACAGCCTTTAGAAAGGGCAAACGTCTTATGTGCCTAGCTTCACAAAGGCAGGATATATACCCTGTAAGTCTGAGCCCAATAAATGAGAGTGGAAAATAAGATGTAGTGGGCCACAAGGACAGATGAATGCCAGAGGAAAGTAAACGGATAAAACAGTATAGAAGTAACCTACCTTGTAAAAATGTCCCCCAGGTCCCGCCTGGGACATGTACTGCGTCATGTTCTGCTGTACACGATGCCCAGGGTAGGAAGGTGATGGAGCAGATTGTTGAGGGGCAGAAGGGGCATACTGGGTGCCATGTGGTGGATACTGGCCCCCTTGTATGTACTGCTGAGGTGCATAACCCTGTAGAAAGTGCAAACAAAAAAAAAAAAACCTAGTTGTCTAGCAATTGAGTTAAACAGAGCAAATTGAACAAATGAAATCACTTTAATTCCTAAGTGGATTTTGTTTGCTTCTAACCTAACCCTCACTGTCAGTCACATAATTACAAAAAATGCTGCAAGTACAGAAAACTACCAGTTGGTCCTACAAGAAATCCAGCGAGTGCCAAAGCTCCTGTAGTGAGCTGACAAAGCAGTTCTGCTGCTGCACTGAAACCCCAAGCACTGTTATCAGCCTTTCCAAAGGTCTTCCCTTCTGGACTACACAACACCCCCCCCCCCAACAATAGTTTGGAGAGGAGAGGATGGGTAATGCTTTCTTGCTATGCAGAAGAGACCCTGGGCAAGACAGCATTGTCACCCTACTACAGGAAGTGGGTGAGGACTACAGTACACATCCAACTCAATTCTCAACTCCATAACATTGGGGTGTTTTGTAACCCTAACTTCCTGATCAACATTGTTTAAGAGAAGACTGCAGATTGCACAAGACAGCACTGAATTGTTGGCGGGATCGACTCCCCCCCCCCCCCCCCCCACTTCTCAAACAAATTCCAATAGCATATTTAGCAGACCAAAAGAGAAAATTATAGTTAGGTTTACACACACTTTTACGTTCTTCCTTTAACTACTTACAGAACAATATTTCTGTACAACAGATATACCACAGCTGCTAACTATGAATCATTTGGGTGATGAGAAATGATCTATAATGAACACACAGGCAATTAGATCTCTTCACTACTGAGAGATTTAACCATTTGTTGGCAGTAACCTCATTTGCAGCATATTGAAATCTATGTGATGCTAATGAAAAAACTGTCAACAAGTAGTCCAGTCTTTCAATAGCAAAAACATTCAAAACTCATTGTAGTGCTAGCCTAAGAGACGGATGTGGTCATGGTATGTCTGATTTTTTTTTTTTTGCTTGTCTCGGTCCAGTTACTTTCCAACAAAAGACAGCTTCTTTTTTTTTTTTTTTTTTTATGAAAAAGACACCATTCACTACCATGAATTGCTGGTTCCAGGCAAACAGAGGTGAGGTGGGAAAAGGAGAGGTTTGGGGACTCACAGGGGACACTACAATGAGGCAGAAAAACATAGTAAGAAACAATTTCATGAAAAATAGATTACAGGGCCATTAAAGTAGTGGAAATATATGGATTATTTTTAGAGAAAAAGGGTATTTAGTGTAGGATCTTCTTTAGTCATTTTAACTTCAACCAAAACCCTAATACTAACCCTCAACTTCAGGCAACATTCTGACTCTTGAAAATATTATGGTGGTAAATAACATCATAGCAATACTATCACATCAAAAATTGTAATGCACCAAAAACAAGTATATACATAAACTGGTTGTAAAGGCTCAAGGTTTTCTATCTTCATGGATTCTATGCATGAAGGTAAAAAACCTTGTGTGCGCAGCAGTTCCCCCCTAATGCTTACCTGAGCCCCCTCTGGGTCCAGCATGCATGAGAGCAGCGGCTCTCCCGGGACTCTCCCTCCTGATGGGCTGAGACAGCAGAGGGAGCCATTGGCTTCCGTTACTATCACAACCAGTGAGCCATTGAGGAGAGAGCGGGGGTGGGGCTCTGTGTCTGAATGAACACACAGAGCAGTGGCTCAAGAGCGAGCCAGCTTGGGTGCATCCAGCAAGCTGTTTGCTCTGGGTGCACTCGGCAGGAGGGAAGGGCCAGGAGCGCCGGTAGGGAACCCAAGAAGAGGAGGATTGGGGGTGCTCTGTGCAAAACCACAGAACAGAACAGCATGTTTGTTATTCTTTAAAAAAAATGCCTTTAATATCACTTTAATATAGAGACAGGTGAGCTAGATATTTTATTATGGTTCTGAAGTCAAAATGATGGCACAAAGTTCAGCCTCTCGCCTTACCTCACTGGAATATGTTCTCTTCACTCCCTGTCTAGGCATTGGCTGACCTTGTAGCTGCCCAGGGTAACCATTAGGCGGTATCCTTTGCCCGGTGTACATAGGGTTCATGGCTGGAGCTCTTGAAGAGTTCATGCCCATCTGAGCCAGGCCGGCAGTACCCATGACTGATCCCATGCCTGCAGAATTCATTCCACCCTGCATGGAGGGACCACGGGGTGCAGAATGAGGCATAAACTGACCTCCAAAATTATGAGAAGGCCCCACCTGCACATAAAAAATACAAACCAAATTACATTTCTACAAACCTAAATGGATAAGACAAAGAATGCAAGGACCAGGGTGAATTTGATTTAAATCACTAGTGAAAAAGCTGATTTAAATCATAATTTTTAAAGAGCAACTGTCATCTCTGTATCGCAGCAGCTCCTCCTCTGACCCGCTGTTGACTCACCGACAGTCCCATTCACTTTAATGGGACGGCTGGTGATGCAGCAGTGACACAACAAAGGGAGGGACATGGCGGCAGCAGGTGAGTGGATACCTGCTAACAGCCACTGCCATGATGGATCTAAAATGACAGGTGCTCTTTAAATGTAAGGAATCCCACTCATTCTTGCTGGTAGTTAGAATCTTAAATATATGCAAACCAAATGAAGGTTTCCTTTTTAGAATAATATGCTGTCAGGTTAGTAAAACAGCAATAGAAGAACCAATTTTAGGTTAATCACGCATAGTTGGAGAACTACTCAAAATCTTTTATTTCATGTTTTTTCTCATGGTAACTGTGAACTTGTGTAAATGTATCAATGCAGTGCATGTTATCCCAGCTTGCATTCATTGAATGAGTTTACCAAAAACGTAAATATTGCAGAATATACAGCCATATGCTATACAACTAAACTCTATTTTATACTGCATAAACTAAATTATTAATGTATCTTAAATTTTTACTCAAAAGCATTTTCTAAAAAAAAAAATATATATATATATATATATATATATATATATATATATTTTTTTTTTTTTTAATGTAAAATCAGATGTGTTTTTTTTTGTAATATCAATCGCTTTTTATCCACCCTGGAAAGGGCTGACTATACAAGAACAGTTGGGAAAATTCTCAGAGACGACACAACTCACCCCTCCGTATTGGTTTAATTCCTGGCTCTGCTTTTCCTGCAGTGCGGCTACAGTTGCTGTTGCGGTTGCTGTTGCAGTAGCTGCTGCCCACCGCTGCTGCAGCAGCCGCTTGTGTAAAGTCGGTAGGACCACGACCTGTGTGCTGAGGCATGCCTAAGCCACCAGCAGCTGTGGGCCCTGCAGGATAACTGTTAATAAAAAAGACCAAAGGTAAGTTATTGAAGCAAAACAGCCCCCACATCAATTAAAAGCACAATTTCAGTCAGAAAGCCTATGTACATCTGAAACACATGCAGGAACTGTTTTACAGTATCTCACATTTTTGCAAATATTTTATTATATCTTTTCATGTGACAACACTGAAGAAATGACACTTTGCTACAATGTAAAGTAGTGAGTGTACAGCTTGTGTAACAGTGTAAATTTGCTGTACCCTCAAAATTACTCAACACACAGACATTAATGCCTAAACTGCTGGCAACAAAAGTGAGTACACCCCTAAGTGAAACTGTCCAATCCAAATTGGGCCCAATTAGCCATTTTTCCTCCCTGGTGTCATGTGACTCAGGTGTGTTAAATTTGGTGTTATCGCTCTCACTCTCTCACACTGGTCACTGGAAGTTCAACATGGCACCTCATGGCAAAGAGCTCTCAGAGGATCTGAAAAAAAGAATTTTTGCTCTAAAGATGGCCTAGGCTATAAAAAGGATTGCCAAGACCCTGAAACTGAGCTGCAGCATGGTGGCCAACACCATACAGCAGTTTAACAGGACAGTTTCCACTCAGAACAGGCCTCGCCATGGTCGACCAAAGAAGCTGAGTGCACGTGCTCAGCGGGTTGTCTTTGGGAAATAAACGTATGAGTGCTGCCAGCATTGCTGCAGAGGTTGAAGGGGTGGGGGGTCAGCCTGTCAGTGCTCAGACCATATGCTGCACACTGCATCAAATTGGTCTGCATGGCTGTCATCCCAGAAGGAAGCCTCTCCTAAAGATGCACAAGAAAGCCTGCAAATAGTTTGCTGAAGGCAAGCAGACTAAGGACATGGATTACTGGAACCATGTCCTGTGGTCTGATGAGACCAAGATAAACTGATTTGGTTCAGATGGTGTCAAGAGTGTGTGGCGGCAACCAGGTGAGGAGTACAAAGATAAGTGTGTCTTGCCTACAGTCAAGCATAGTGGTGGGAGTGTCATGGTCTGGGGCTGCATGAGTGCTGCCGGCACTGGGAGCTACAATTCATTGAGGGAACCATGAATGCCAACATGTACTGTGACATACTGAAGCAGAGCAGGATCCCCTCCCTTCGGAGACTGGATTGCAGGGCAGTATTCCAACATGATAACGACCCCAAACACACCTCCAAGACAACCACTGCCTTGTTAAAGAAGCTGAGGGTAAAGGTGATGGACTGGCCAAGCATTTCTCCAGACCTAAATCCTATTGAGCATCTGAGGGGCATCCTGAAACGGAAGGTGGAAGGAGCGTAAGGTCTCCAACATCCACCAGCTCCGTGATGTCATCATGGAGGAGTGGAAGAGGACTCCAGTGGCAACGTGTGAAGCTCTGGTGAACTCCATGCCCAAGAGGGTTAAGGCAGTGCTGGAAATTAATGGTGGCCACACAAAATATTGACACTTTGGGCCCAATTTGGACATTTTCAACTTAGGGGTGTACTCACTTTTGTTGCCAGTGGTTTAGACATTAATGGCTGTGTGTTGAGTTATTTAGAGGGGACAGCAAATTTACACTGTTATACAAGCTGTACAATCACTACTTTACATTGTAGCAAAGGGTCATTTCTTCAGTGTTGGCACATGAAACGATAGCATAAAATATTTACAAAAATAAGGGGTGTACTCACAGTGAGATTCTGTACATATTAGTATATTATGTAGACTGTAGTGAACACACTACCCTTACCATGCTCCATGGAGGTGACAAAGTCTTTTGTTGCACAGACTCCATCCCACTGATCTTTAGCCTGCCTGTTCTTGGGAGTACTAGTAAACACTGCCAAATGGGTATCCTCTCTCCTTACAATAACAACACTTAAGCAGGCCATAGACTTCTGATAAAGTTGACGAATTATCGGCCGATTAAAAAAAAAAAAAAAAAAAAAAAAAAAAAAAAAAAATCGGATGATATTCGGATCGTTAGTGGGGTAACTGGTCGGCCGTTTTTCGTAATTTTAAGACATTTAGAAAATCGGCCCTGCTGGAAAATCGGCCAATTTGGTAGTTCGGCCGATTTTCACGGCAATTATGGTCAAATCGGCCATTCTTTTTGCAGATTTTCAAATAAATTGAATATGAAGAAAAAGAAGAAATAGATTTTGCAGAAGAAAGAAGAAGAAGAAAAAGTTGCAACATTGTATCTATTTGTATCCATTTCGGATACAGATGTTTCTATTCAAGTACAAATAGATACAATGTTGTTTCTTCTTCTTCTTATGCATAATCTATTTCTTCTTTCAAATATAATAGCGGGGCTCTATGCAGGGACACCACTATTATATTAATTGCCGACCGTAGATGGGACGAAAACCAGCCGGCTTTTTTTATACAATGGTAGTAACGTCAGCCGACTGAACGACCGATTTTACGATTTTTAAAAAAAAAAAAAAAAAAAAAAAAAAAGTCCGGTTTTCTCCAAGTCTATGGCCTGCTTTAACTCACCTTCTCAAATCAAGATCAAATTAAGATCCAGCACTCTACTACATACCCAATTTCACCTTTCAGCTACCATTTGGCAACTCAGTATAAACCCAGTTTTCAGGCAATGAGAATAGTGATGCTGCAACTAATGACTTTTGCTGCAGGAATTGAAGAACATTCTCGAAAAGATGTTCTAAATCAACTGTTTGGAATATTTCAAAGCAACCACCTTATGTAATAGAAACATGTGTGGAAAGATATAAAGGAGACTACCGATGTTTTACCAGTGACCTAGTTTGCAAATGTTAGTTGCTTGCTGGTAATACTGATCAATTATCTACAGAACATGCAAGAGTCACTAACCAGGAACAAGTAGGCAGAACAGACGTTCTGACTTCACTTAGATTTCCTGGCTGTATGCTCTAGCTCACAGGTGTCAAACTGCAGCCCTCCAGCTGTTGAGAAACTACAAGTCCCATTTTGCCTCTGCCTTTGGGAGTCATGCTTTCAACTGTCAATCCTGCAATGCCCCATGGGATTTGTAGTTCAGCAACAGCTGGAGAGCCGCAGTTTGACACCCCTGCTCTAGTTCCAAAGTCAGAGGTTCAAGGTGCTGGGCAGGAAACTAGCATTTACAGGAGGTCTGAAATAGCAGCCTATGCATTTCTTTAAGCTCAAGCTACTTTTGAAGTAAAATGACACAATTTCTGTATTTGCATATGCATAAAAAAAAAACAAAAAAAAAAAACAAAAAAGAAAAAGGATCCATTAGACCCCAGCTAGAATGAAAGATTCTGATTGACTGCCATCTTCACGATTGCCTCTGCAGTGTGACACCCAGTGCACTTTTCATATATACTTACATGGCAAACAAGCGCTCACTTTTTATTGGTATTTTATTGATTATAACCTGCCAGTATGCACAAAGCATTGCTGGTGCCCAGATACACACAGCTAATGTACATTCCACTCTGTCAGCAAAGGATGTCCATAGATTGCATATTTATGAATACTGCTCCAGCTACTACAAAAATGGCATCCTCTAGTAGGTGTAATCAGATGTTACTGAACATCATGTACCTATTTTGGGCCCCCTCACACCTATACACATGTGCATCACAATACGTAATATATGTGCGTTGAGGAGAAATTCCGTTCAGTCCATAAATCATACAAATACACATATACAGTGTAAACAATGCCCTTTAGCACAGATGTGAATGCACTAAGCATTATAGTCTGCTGTGTTGGTCAATAGCAGTATTAGGTAACTTTTCGGGCATTAAAGCTTATCAATAGCGCATTCAAAGTGAACAGGCAGCTTAAAAGTGGCTCTTTGATGAGAGAATAAAGGAGGCTGCCATTGCGGAGCTCCCCTTTAAAGGTTAGGTTCACATCTGTGCAGGTGGTGCCATTGTGGATCCGCATGAAAAACCGTGCAGACACACCACCCGCACAGAGAAATGCGGATCCGCGGGCGGGGTGCCATTAGATCTAATGGCACGCCGCCTGCACTGAAAAACGCAACCGTACTGGGAACCGAGGTTCCCATGTGGGCTGCATTTCAGAAGAAGTGCAGGGACTTCTCTGCATGTCACGGGAGTCCATTCAAATGAATGGGCCCTCTGCCCCCAAAAAATGCGGCTCGTACGGCCGCATAGATGTGAACCAGCATATGCTTGTGTGAGAGCCGTGTTTGCCTGCATGGGGATGCGCAGGTGTTCCATGCATCTCTGTGCAGGCGGTCCCCATCATGTCAATTGGGGTGCGGCAGCTGCAAGGACACAGCCGCTGCTCCCAATATGACAGCCATGCCAGTGCATAATCCTGAACGCCGTACTTGCACAGCTGTCAAATTAGGAGCAATGGCTGTATGTCCGTGCAGCCGCTTTCTCCCAACTGACAAGAATGGGACTACCTGCACAGGGATGCACAAATACCTGTGCAGCCCCGTGCGTGCAAACATGACCCTCATACGGGCATCCACTATAGAATACTCATATGAACGAGGCTTTGTAAATGCTGATTTCCTGGCTGCCTTGCTTTGGCTTCAGTGAAATCTTGAATCGCCAACCTTTTAACAAATAGAGAGATTAGAAATGTGATACTCATTTACAGCATGCCTGTATCTCAAAAACACAAAAAATTTTCAAACAGCCAGGCAACAAGCATTTTTACAAGGCAGCCTGCAAAGCTAGGCCAGGCACTGAGCTTTCCCGTGTGTTTTCATTGCCCTATATAAATATAACACACATTAGTGATGTCCTATCTCTGTGCAGTGCACACAGTGATTGCAAAGCTCCCAGATGGTTCTTTCTGGGTTTACTATCCCTTTATTCACTAGTTTTAAATTCTATTCACACTCAAAATTACCTGTTTGGGTAGGCTGATCCCCCTGGATAGCCTCCACGTGCATACATGTTCTGCTGAAGATACGCTTTCCCAGCACCCCCTTCAGGAAATGCTTGCTGGCCAATAAACTGGGGGCTCCCCATTCCTCCTCCACTGCCAGGCAGTCCTGGCATGACTCCGCCCCCGGTGGGGCCACCACTGGGCACCATGGGATTTCCAAGGACCTATAGATAAAAAGACAGATCAGCAAAATATAAAAAGGAGACACACAATGACACGTTCACAGTTCAAGCACAGCTCACAGTGAGAAGCACTGAACACAGAACTCTCACACAGAAAGGGTTAAGCAAAAGGAGAAGTCTTGGACAGGGGAGGGGTTAGAGCTGTGCAGCCCAGCGGGCTCCACCTTCAGTGACATCATGTTACCTGGCTCTGCGACGTGTTGCTCAGACCCCAGACAGTGGTTACCACGGAGAGCGATCCTGCAGCTTGATTGGTGTTTGGTTGCCAGGGAACAGACTCGTATGCAAATGAACCATCACTGTTTAGGGCAGAGGCGGGAGTTATTGGTGTGCGCACGATCCACACGGAGAATGTTTAGGTACAAGACACACTGAAACTGCAAATACCAAATCAATACAACCGTCTGCTATGTAGCAGCTTTTCTTTCCTTGCTGCAAGCCATCATTCCTGACGGTTTTAGTTTGCATTAGAATAGCTGTAATAGGTTGCAGATCTCCACAGAGATTAGGAAAGCCTTTCTAACTAGCTGTGCAGACACACACAGCACAGTATACAGTTCAATGGAAAAAAAATCTGAATCTACATAAACACAAAGAATAGCATGCAAGCACAAGAATGAATACATGACATGTGTGTGTATATATATATATATATATATATATATATATATATATATATATTTATTTATTTAGGGGCATGCAAGAGCACAAAAGAAAAAAAAAAAAAAAAAAAAAAAGACAGACTGTATAAAATACGAGCACATTACCTGTGTCCTGTGCCAGGGTGTGATGGTTTCATGGGGTTCATGGAATTCATTTGCAGGTGGCTCTCGTCACTGGCTGCAGAGACACAGATAGATTACTTGTAACATCTCTCCATGATGCTTACTTCCCCAGAGGCTTGTCACGGCACCTTTAAAATCACCCTGCATGACTCATAGCTTTCCTTTTATAATTATGCAGCATGCAGAATCCACGCTGCAATGCACTTTCCTCCTGCAAAGGTTAATGTTCTGCTCATCTGCCCCCGGCCTTCCCTCTGGTCACATGACCGTGCATTCTGTACACAGGACGTGGAAGCTGGCACAATGCCCGCATCTGGCACTAGTTACACAGACACCCCTTGATTAACCTTGTCGCTGCCAGGAACATTCAACAGCAGCAGTATCAGACAGGGAAAAAATATGACCTCTAATTTGGGAGGAAAAAAAATAAAATAAAAAAATAAATAAAAAAAACACCTAGGTGCAAGGGTGATCCACCACCTCTGAGATTTGGTAGATTCGACCTTATACTTTTTTTTGTGTGTGTGTATACACACACACACACACACACACACACACACACACACACATTATATACATACACATCACACATTATATACATACATCTATCTATCTACATACCTATCTATCCATCATATATATATACACACACACACACACACACACACACACACATATAAATATAATACACACACACACACACACACACACACACACACATATATATATACAACACACATACATACACACACACACACACACACATATATATATACATACATACACACACACACACACACACACACACACACATATATATATATACATACACACACACACACACACACATATATATATATACATACAACAACACACACACACACATATATACATACATACATATACACACATACACACACACACACACACAAATACATACTATATATACATACACACACACTTCTATAAAAAAAAAAAATCAATAAGGTGACCACAGGGACAGCACATTGGACTGTAGAAAGACTGTCCGCATTTCTGGGGTACACAGCACACCCCCTCTAAAGAGTTGTGGGTGTCAGCACTGGGTGTGTTCAGGAAGAGGGGGGGCCCAGGACAAGGAATGTAGACAGGGGACAGGAAGGAAATGAGCAGAGGTGGGAACGGAAAAAGCTGCGCAGTGGGTGGGAGAAAGCATACAGCTGAGAGCAGAGGGTAAAACATGAGCAATGAGAAGAGGGAGGTGACAGGTGTCACGCTGTCCTCAGTTAAACTACAGGCAGCAGAGAAAAGGCCATTTCTGAGTAAGCTATGAGGGCGTCAGAACCTCCCCAACAGCACTACCACAAAATGTCATCATCAACTTGGGGGGGGGGGGGGGGGGGGGGGGGGGGGGGGGAATAAAATGAAATTCTGCCAAATTCAGCAACAAGCCAGAGCTACAGCTCAGCTCCTTGTCATGGCTGAGACAGCCAGGTTGTGTGCCAAGTATTCCTTCAAAAGGGAAGAGTGAAGGGGGACAATTAAAGGGGAATATGTTACCTCCTAAGATAATGTTATCGACCAATATAGAAATGTTAGAACCACAACTTTGTCAAGTATTCACACAGCTTAAAACACGGGTGTCAAACTGGCGGCCCTCCAGCTGTTGCCAAACTACAAGTCCCATGAGACATTGCAAGATTGACAGTTACAAACATGACTCCCAAAGGCAGAGGCATGATGGGACTTGTAGATTTGCAACAGCTGGAGGGCCGCCAGTTTGACACCCCTGGCTTAAAAAGGTTAAAAAAAATGCATGCACCATCCAAGACCTCGTCTCCATTAGATCTGCCATTAGTTTTTTTCCTAAATAACTGATTGTGTCACATTGCTCTGCTTAAACCGCCAACATGCAGTAGAAATATCAACAATGGCAATAGATACCTGTAGTCTGTATATAACAGTCCCTTTATCTTTTGATAAATAAGGGCATGGTTGAATAAAGCTGCATGTAGCCCTCCCCACCTTCTAAAGGTGGTCTACATGGATCTATTTTTTTTTTCCATTCAACTAGCGGGCTGAATTGAAAAAAAAAAAAAAAATCTGATTCCCCCATACATGCACGTTATGTGGGAATCCTCCCTGCTAAGTTGTATTTCTGACAGTGGGGAGGCTCTCTTGCCACCAGAATACACAGGTCAGCCCTGCAGTCTATACTCTGCAGCGCTGATTCAGCAGGGGGGAAAAAAAAAAAAACCACACCAACAGGGTGGTTGAACAGAAGTTGATCAGCAGATTAACTGCTGTTTAAAAGTGGTTAGAAACGTTTCCATATACCCAGTGAAGTGACTGGCTTTGCAGCAGCAGAGAGAAAGGACACAAGTACACACTAAAGAGGCATATACTTAGTTCATATTTCATGTCTGAGGGTTACAACCACTTTACCACTTTGGTCACAAATGGATCAAAATTCGTCTGGGTCCCTGCTGAACCAGCGAATTTCAATCCACGTATGGCCAATTTACAGTGATTCTAAAAAAAGGTTAAAAAGTTTTTTGGGTTTTTTTTTACCTTAATGCATTCTCTGCATTAGGGTAAAAAAAACCTTTAGTTATTAGGATCCTTCCTAGATCCCTCTTATGCTTGAGCCTGACCTCGATCCAGCGCTGAGTCCAACAGCTGCAGCTTTCTCCTTCTCACAGGACAGAGGCAGCAGCATGAGCCATTGGTTCCTGCTTCTGTCAATCAAATCCAGTGATGAGGGAGCAGGAGGCAGGGCTGAGCTGCACTGTGTGTTTATGGATGCAGGCAGCAGGGCTTGGGATCAAGTCTTCACAGGTGCCCCCATAGGAAATCTCGTTCAAGTGAACAGTGTTCAAACACAAAGTCATTCCCTTCTGAGGCTAGCACTAGCTATTGCATGAACTCTCTGATCTCATATTTTAGTCTAAGAGTCAGATGACAATAACAGAAGATCTTTCAACCAGTTAAACAATCTCTCTACGCAAAACTGAATGCTTTCTATTAGATCAGAAATGGCTCAATTATCTCAAAATCTTCCATACAACTCTGTTCAATTAAATATAATGTAACAGATAACCGGTATATTTGTTCAGCAGACAGGAATTGTATGCAGCAGACAGATATTCTGGAAGATTAAAACCAAGGACGACGTCTGGAGGTATTCCCTTCCAAAGATACAAATCTGAAGCAAAAATCACACTCCTGTCATGTAGTCATACAGGGAAATACCACTTGTTGGAAACATTTATGTACAGTACAACCTACAAGAGAAATGCAAAAAATATCAATATTCCAGATGACTTCCAACAAACAGAATTCAACAATGCAGACAATTTCTGATCGGCAATCTCTAGCAGATCGGCAAACCATAAAACAGGACCCCGATCTCAGCAAGGTGCATGGTACTCCACTCTGAAGCCATAGGCTGTCCTTATACTAGGATTACATAGTAATGATTCTATGCTAGAAACATTCCATTTTCCAAAATGGAACTTCATGGGGGGAGGTCGGCGAGTACCAATTTTTATTGGTATCCCCTCCCACTTTCGTAACCCTTGCCTCCTGGGACATGTCACATGGAAACTGCAAAAATATTCACAAAGCGCCGTGTGAGCTGACATATACACAGAGATGGTGGCACTGGGGACCCACAGCGGTAAGAACTGGCTGCCAAAAGACAGCGTTGGATCCCAAGTACTGTTCAAGGTGGGTGGTTCTTCTCTGGCTCTGCCCAATTGTCATATAAATTACATATTTTAAAACTCCTGAAGTGGTAGTAAACTCAGTTTAACCACTTCGTGCCGGCGTCTCAAAGCCCTTTAAGGAGTTTCATTACGGGGCGGGGGGTTTTAGGGTCATGTTTGAGCATCACATGATCGGAAAAGGCCCCGATCGAAAGGGGAGATCGGGACCTTTCCATGAGTCACAGACATGTGCTGGGAGCACGCGCTCTCTGCACATATGTAATTTCTAATTGCACGCAAAAATGCGGACGCTCGGCGTCAAGGCCCTGACACCGAGAGGCCGCATATTTGCATGCGCATGGCATCAAAGGGTTAAAGATTACCTGTAGGTAAAATTAATATCTTCTAAACCTACACTGTTTAGGAAATATTTTAGCGATCAGCGGCCAGTGACCTCACCGGTGCATGCATTATGAAGGAACGGCATACCTGTGCTGTTCCTTCAGAGCTGTGTATCGCGGCTGATAATCCTGCGTGCATGCTGCTTTAAAATAGAACTTCAGTCAGATTTAAAAAAAAATAAAAATCCAATGGATTTAGTTGAAAAATCATTAAATGTATAAACTGGTGTAAATAACTGAATACGACTCTGTATCAGTTTCTTGCAATCTCCCAGACAGCATAAAAATCATTTGGCAGGTAAAACCGCTCTAATATATGTATTTCAGTATTGTATTAAGCAACTAGTCTGGAGTTCAGCTTTACATACAGCAAAAATGTGAGTCCATGTACATGTTGTACCATCCACAACTCGGCCCCCAGCAACATCACCAACCTGGTCTCAAAATATCAACCAAACTGCTCTCTTCGATCCTCCCAAGACCTTCTGCTCTCTCTAGTTCCCATGTCACCTCCCCCATGCTCGCCCCCAAGACTTCCCCCGAGCTTCTCCCATCCTGTGGAACTCCCTACCCCAATCTGTCCAGCTGACTCTGAATCTATCCACCTTTAGATGATCCCTGAAAACCTCTCTTTAAAGAAGCCTATCCTACTTCTAACTAGTAAACCGCCATTTATTTCCTCCATCAGCTCATCCCCCCACAGCTATTACCTTTTGTATCACTCAACCCTTCCTCCTAGATTGTAAGCTCTAAAGAGCAGGGCCCCGTTTCCTCTTGTACTGAATTGTATTGTAACTGTAATGTCTACCTTCATTTTGTAAAGCGCTGCGCAAACTGTTCATGCTATATAAATACTGTGTATAATGAAGCTTGCTAAAAAGGCAATAACACTATGGTGACTAGTTCATTCACAAGATCTTAAAGCAAAACTTCGCCAGAAGCGAA